ACTAGGCAAGCAAACCTGGATCCTGGAAGTTCATAGCTAAGTCACTAAAACTTCTCTTTGTTTTTAAGTGAGGTGTTAAGTATCTGTATAACCCCATCAAATCAGAAACTGGCCTTTTTTCTAAACTTAGTTATTCCTGTTACTTTGAAACCTGTTGCTTTTTTTTGTAACTAATAAACAGTCTCATTTTCAACTGACCTTTCCTATCATTTCTCTTTAAAGACAGATTTTTTTCTGTGCCCTAAATCAGTATTCTCTCACTCTGCATCCCTTCTTCTTGAACCTTTGAGAATTGCACTTGAAACACAGTGGTGATTAATATACCTCCACACTCCAGGATCAGTCTTAGTCATCCATCACTGTTTTGTGCTAGTGATTAACAGAGAAACATGACCTATTTTGTGTACTTTGAGCAACATCTGTCTTTCAAAAAGCAGCAAACAGTTTTGGTTTTTTCCCCTTTGAGTTGCAGTGCAACTCCCTCTTGTCTTCTCATCTTTTAAATGCTATCAGATTATTTCATTTCTAGGGTCCTTTTACCTTCCATCAGTTTCCTCCTAATCCATTTACTAGTCCTATAACCATTGTTTCCTCCACATACCCAGAATTTTACCTGCACTGTGACCCTCTATCATTGTTTTGGTTCAGATCAGGAATGCGCTTTTGAAACAAGTATCCCGGATCACCCACACATACCATAATTTGTGGGGTTTTTGGTTTGTTTTTTTTTTTTGTGGAGTGGTCTTGGAATTCACAACTACATTCTTTTTGGGTGACATTAAACCAGACAGATGCATGTCCACAGTATGTCAAGGGTGCTCTACCTGCTCACAGGCATTAAATCCAGGACTAGACTAAAACCAGTCCAAAAATAAAGAACACTATTCTGGAGTAGCACGGGCAAGGAATTGTCTAGTTGATTCCATACTTTGAGCAATTATCTCATTTTTTTGGATCAAAAAAACCTACATTACTCCTTTTGGTGTTACTGTAAGGCCTTTACCTCTACCATCAGTTCTTGCAGGTATCTCATTGTTAAGGCCAACAGGTATGTACTGGTTTAGGCCTTCTCAGCTGCTTTGATTCTGTCTTGATTTGGTCAATTGCTACTGAGTTTATTCTATAAAATACTGCTTTTATTGTTGGGGTTTTTTTTAATTATTATAGCTCCCTTAAAAGAAGAGTCTAATGTTATGGCAAACTACCTGTTGTTTAGGGAACTGGGTATAACTTTTCCAGTAGATTCCTTCCTATCACCTAATACAGCTGAAAATGTGTGCCTTTTTCTAGTGCTGGATAACTACTTCTCTTTCTTGAAAAGTTCCAGACTTAGGTTGCTTGAGTGGTCTGAAGACTCCATCGTTTGACATCCCTTTGCTCACTCTAATGTCCAATTTAATAGAGTTTCTGAAATGTCATCTGTCTTCAGTCTGCAATGAACTGTATGTGACTAAAACCTGTTCCTGACCTGTCAGTCACTGGCTTTCTGGACATCTTCAGGAATATCTTTTAATCAAGCTGTAAATGTAACTTTTGCTTCAGTGTCCTTTGATCAGCAGAATTGGAATGTGTCACAACTAAGCACTGTCAGGCAGGACAAATTTTCCCTTTTTTTTTTTTCCCCTTATGAGCTATCATTTGTGGGGATTGAAAATGTAAAGCTTTTTATCTGCAGGTCTTGAATCAGCCCTGGTTGGTAGTAACTGGGATATTTATCACAGTTTGTTAGTAGACCATGTGAATGTGTTCAGCTCTTGACAGAATTGGAGAGTTGACAGGTGTTCATATTGTGTCTTTCTAACTGGTGGCAATTAATTATTCTGGCAGAGGTGTGGATGACTGAAAAGGCAAGGAGGCTGACCAATCTCTTACTCCTTAGGATGTGGAATAGTGGTGGGTTTATACAGGAAAACTGTACTTGCTTTGTCCATAGTGTATCTGTTATCTGCCTCACAGAGAGCTTTTAGAACAAAGCTGATCTTCTCAGGAACTGTATATGGGTATTCAAACTTTAAGGATGTGAACTATCAAACTAAGGATGTGAAAAACTTAGTAATGAAGGTTATCCTTGTCTGATGAATTGTTAAACCTATCAAGAAGGTGGTCATCGGTAGTGGATGGAGCACTGCTGTGATTTGGGTACAAATCAAAAGCACAAAGAGTCAATCTTCTTTCTTCGAATTCCTCTTATTCCAAGCTTGTTGCAGTAAATGAAAACTTGAGTAGTAAAAACTTCAGTTTTGCTATCCAACATCTGAGAATATACATTCTTGTACCTTTTCAGGCTCCTGGTTATGGTGATGTAAGGCTTTCTTTGGAGACAATACCAGACACCGTAAATTTGGAAGAACCTTTTGACATTACATGTAAAATAACAAATTGCAGGTAATGACGTCATGTGATTGTTGTGCTTTTTCTTGAGTGGGTAAGTTGTGGCTGTCTGTTTCATTTTTTCAATACTTTCTCCTGAAACAACTCAAACCTGGTCTTTACTATGAGTTGTAGCAACACAAAACTACTTGAAAAACATCTTTTGGATTACAATGATTTTAAAAATCCCAAAGAAACATTAAAAAAACTTCCATCATGATCTGTTAATACTGTTTGAACTAGGAGATTCCCAAAAAGCTGTAGTGGAATTCCATGGAACTGGCTGCAATGTCATGTAAGATTGCACCCCATATGTAAATCACAAATCATCTTAGTCCTTCTTAGTTAATCTGTGTAGAGAAGACTTTTTTTTAACTACAAGTAATTGTATCAGAATAAGTGCCATTTGTATCCAATCTGATTTTACTGCCAGTTCTGCACCACTGCTAGAATGCCTGCTAAACATTGTCATTTTGGTCTTTTGTACGTCTTTTATCCATGTTTTGACTTGTGTTTACACTAGGATCTATGGTAGCCCTTTATAAAAGGATTGCAAGTGTGACATTTAAATAAAGTAATTCTAAACAGAAGTTGGGACTAAAGCCTGTATCTGGTCTGCAGATACTTGTCATGAAAATCTTGTACTCCATCCAAAATGTGAGCAGTATTATTCTATACAGTATTGCTAAACCCATGGCAGGATGCTTGTGTCAGACAAAGCTGTATGCAACCGAATTACTGCATGTCACAGTAAATCTTGCTTGCCGCCTTATTTGCTTGATTAATAGTAACCTGAATAATAAAGTAATCAAGCTTTTACATGTCTGCAGGCCTTGAATGCTTAAAAAAAGCCCACAGGTTTATTCTTGTTTGTCAATTTCCTCTAGCAGTGAAAGGACTATGGACCTGGTTTTAGAAATGTGCAATACTAATTCCATCCACTGGTGTGGAGTTTCAGGAAGGCAACTTGGAAAGCTGCACCCAAGTTCATCCCTCCATCTTGCACTTACATTGCTGTCTTCAGTGCAAGGATTGCAAGTAAGTCTTTATAGCATAGTTTTGTTATAAAATAGCTGTTTTATAAACTTAGTAATTCTTTGTAATAACTTAGTAATTCTTTGTAATAACTCTTATAAATATTTTCCCTTTCTAGAGTGTCTCTGGCTTAAGACTTACAGACACATTTTTGAAGAGAACATATGAGTATGATGACATTGCACAAGTCTGTGTAGTTTCTTCAGAAGTCAAACAAAGCTGAAGAAAAAATTCTGTATTTCTGCTGGGCTTTTTTTTTTTTGGACCAACTTTGTGATGTTTTTGCAGCCGAATCACATTAAAATGTGTACAAACAAAACCGAATCCCTACATATCTGTAAATGTAACTATGCTTATTTAATTTCTCTGAGCATTTTTTGAATGTTTCAAAATCTTTAAAAAAATGCATATGCATCTTACCTACTGAAAATAAAGACTTTGAAAAAAGTGTAGCTCAAGCAAATTATATTGCATTAACATTACCTTGGGGCACGGGGGTGAGATGGATATGAAATAGTAGCACTTTGTACTTACTTTTGTTATTTTAATTATTTTTAAAATATTA